ATCAGTAGAGGAACCCAGACATCAGTGTGTTAGGTCACAGATAAATGCAGGGTGTGTCAAAGTGCCTCTTCCCCCAGAGTCCAAGACTACAGTGATAGGCTTTGAAGCTCAGACTGGGCATATTTTTCTTTAAAAAATTGTTTTAAGATGCTATATTTATCTTTAATTTTTTTTAATAACAATTTACAGAGACTTTGGATTTCCATTCATTTATTGTTGCACACTTTCTTCCCTACCCACGTCTCCCCCCAACTTTGCTTTTCTCTTTGAAAAATAAAAAAAAAATGTAAAAAAACCTTTCATTGTTATACACTCCTCTCCCTCCCACTCCACTCCATTATGAAGCTTTCATTCTAGACTCTTGTAATGACAATAATACCTAATCATACATTCCTCCTAAACAGTTCTCTCCCTCATTTGTTTAATGCAGTATACATTATTTATCTCCCCTTAGATTCCCCTCAACTCCAATATTTATAGGTCAGCTTGCCCAGATTATATGAGTATCATCCACAAAGCTCTCAAAACCTCATTATCTTCGACTGGGAACTGGCTCATAGTTGATTCTCAAGCTGGATTCAAGTCTGTAAATCATAAGGAAAGAGACTGTCCATTTCTTTTCTGTCTGAGCCGCTGTGGATTCAATCCACCAGAGAGCAAGGACTTCAGAAATCTCCTATCTTCAAGCCACTTCAGTTTGGAGATTGTTGATGACGTGAGGGGACATCAAGTCTAGCATGACTCATAGCAACTCCATGAAAAACAGAACTGTATCCTGTTCTACCCTGTGCAATCCCTCTAGTCTCTGACACACTCAAACCACTGCAGAGAGCAAGGACTTCAGAAATCTCCTATCTTCAAGCCACTTCAGTTTGGAGATTGTTGATGATGTGAGGGGACATCAAGTCTAGCATGACTCATAGCAACTCCATGAAAAACAGAACTGTATCCTGTTCTACCCTGTGCAATCCCTCTAGTCTCTGACACACTCAAACCACTGCCACAGTCAATGTCTGAATCCACCTGCCTGAGGATCTTCTCTTTGTTCCTCCACCTTTCCAAGCATGATGTCCCTCTCTAAGGAACAGCCTCTCCTAGCAACATGCCCAAAGTATGTGAGATGAAGCTTCATCATCTTTTGCCTCCGAGGAGCACTCTAGCTGCACCTTCTCCAAGACATATGTTTGTTCTTTTGCCAGTCCATGGGATACTTATCACTTTTCTTCAACACCACAGCTCAAAGCATCAATTCCTTTTTTTCTTTTTTTTCACTAGTTTATTTACAAAATTCTAATACAAATTAGATCAAATTCTTTCAATTTCCCTCACCCTGCCACCCATCAAATTGTACAACCCAATGATTAATCCCCTCTTCCCTCTGCATATTCACATCCCTCTGCTTCCAGCCTCTCCCACCCATCTTAGCTTCTTATACTCATTCTACAATAACAGTCTTATACAATATTTGCCCTTGTGGGACTGAGTTAGCTCACTCAGCACAATGCTCTCCAGTCCCTCCCAAGTTAGGTAACACTTTACAAAATCATTGCTCCAGCATGCTGCATAGTATTGCATTGTGTGAATGTACCATAATTTCTCCATTCATTTGTGGTTGGACATTTGGGTTGTTTCCATGTTCTTGCGATGGTGAGTAATGCTACTATGAACATTGGTGTACAAATCTCAGTTTGTGCCTCAGTTCTAATATTCTCAGGGTATATTCCAAGTAGTGGAATAGCTGGGTCACATAGAATTTATATGTTTTTTTGAGGAGGCACCAAACTACTTTCCAGAATGGTTGCACATTTTACAGTCCCACCAACCATATATGAATTCCTTTCTTGCCACATCCTCTCCAATATGTATTACTTGCTGCTCTGTTAAACTTTGCCACTCTTACTGGAGTGAGACGGTACCTCACTGTGGTTTTGATTTGCATCTCTCTTATTGCCAGTGATTTGGAGCATTTCTTCATGTGTCTGACATTCAAATCAAAGCATCAATTCTTCTGTCATCCTCATTCATTGTTCAGTTCTCATGCATAGCAAGTGACTAAAAAAAGACTATGGTTTGAATTAGGTATACCTTACTCCTCAAACTAAGACATTCTGTATGTATCATTGCTCCTCAATAATTTGGAGAAGTCTCTAACTATAGATTTTCCCAGTGCTATATATCTCTGGATTTCCTGAGTGCTGGTACCAAGTACAATGATTGTGGATTCAAGTAAGATGAAGTCGTTGACAGTCTCAATCTTTTCTCCATGTTTCATGATATTGTCTATCAGTCCAATGGCAGGATTTTTGTTTTCTTGACATTGAGATGAAATCCATATTGAAGGTTGCAGTGTTTAACCTTCTCTAACAAGTGTTTCAAGTCCTCCTCACTTTCAGCTAGTAAGATTGTATCATCTCACTTAATATTGGGGCATAAGTTATGCTCCATATGGAATACATGTGAACTGGAAGTGATGGTTTGATGTGGGATCAGTAAATATATTAAAAAAAATAAAGATTCTATCATCTGCCTAATGAAGGTTATTGAATAATTTTCCTCCAACCCTGCTGCCACAATCTTCTTCATAGAGTTCAGCTTCTTGAATAATATGCTCAGTATATAAATAGGTATGAAGAAAGGATCCAACTCTGGTGCATACCTTTTCTCATTTTAAACCATGCAGTGTTTTTTCCCTTGCTCTGTTTGCACAATAGCCTCTTGATCTAGGTATAGGTTTCATATGAGCACAACTAAGCGCTCTGGAATTTCCCTTCCTCTCAATATTAGCAATAATTTGTTATGATCTGCCCCATAAAATGCCCTTTTATAGTCAATAAATAAAAAGAGTCATTCTTTTGGTATTCTAGATTAGATACTGTTGTTGCTGTGTACCACTGAGTCAGAACCAACCCATCTCTGACCCTATGGTGGGTTTTCAGAGAAAGTTAATCTCACAGGAGAAGACTGCCCTATCCTTCTCCCATGAAGCAGCTGGTGGATCAAACCGTGTGCCTTCAGGATTGCAGCGCACATACTTACCACTGGGCCACTAGAGCTCCCTCAGAGCTCCTCAGTGACTCTATTAGTAAAGACTGAGTTAAAGAACATATCCAAGGTCACTGAGCTAATAAGTGGTAAAAATAGGGTTATGGCAACAGTCTGCAAAACTCCAAAGCTTGGGTAGGTTTTTAAAGCTGTCATTACACCATCTTCATTAGAAACTGCAGGGAGCAGTTTTACTATTTGGTGAGATAATTAATTTTTCAGGGTTACAAGTCTACTATTTTTCTGTTACACCATTTGTTATCCATGCTAAGATGAGCAATTATTTGTGTGGGTGCCTCAGGTAGTAAATCAATTGTGACTCAATTGATTGTCAACAGGTGAGGAGAATATTCAATAGGTTAATGTACTTCCTGATAAAAGTGAATGCTCAATTAAATTATCTCCTAATGAAAATAAATGTATACTTTTGATATGTGGCAGGTCCCCTTTCTCCCAGTTTTTGTGAGAACAACCTTAGATGTATCATTATCTTATATAATTGATTATATATCTTATATAATTTAATATATATATTTTTATATAAATATAAATATACAAATAAATAAATAATATATAAATAATATATATTATCTGAAATCCAGGTGGGGAGTATTCTGAAGTGGTCTGACTCTACAGGGGTTTTGATTTCTGGTTCTGGTGAGACTCTGAGGCATTGTTTTCTGGCCATTGGCTGTGAGTTTATTGTATTTGGCCTCCTATTTAAAAAGGCATTTATTCACCAGTAAGGGTCTGGAATTCAGGTTTTAATTATTTTTGGTCAAACATTCTTCTAAGTCGTATAGCACTGGTCTGTTCATTTGCTGTACAGAGGTAGCTCATGGTTGCTGTGATGCTGAACACTGTGACACTGATGTGTCAAATGCAAGAATGGTTACCCATGGTGGACAGTGTTTGGTGGAGCTCCCCAAGTAAAACAAGCTTGGAAGCAGAAGTGGCATCCATTATCAAAATAGCTTGCCTCTAGAAACTCTATGAACTCGGAGAAATGATGAAAGTTATACAATTGTTCAGGTCTTTTGTTCATAGGGCTGCTATGAGCTTATGACTCAATGACAATTAACAACAACGACAAGAGAGCTCTGTTGACCTAGTGGAAAGAAAGAGCAACGATGTCAGTCTGGAGACTAAGGTGTGTCTGATTCAGGTCATAGTCTTCGCAATTACTTGCTATGCATCATAAAGCTGGACAATGACTAGAGATGATAGAGAATTGATGCTTTTGAGCTGTGGTGTGGGACAAGAGTGCTGAATATACCATGCACTGCAAGGAGAACAAACAAGTTTGTCCTAGAAAGGGTGACACCAGGCTGCTCCTTAGAGGCAAGGATTCTGAAGCTTCGTCTGACATACTTTGGACATCTTGCAAGGAGGGACCAGTCCTTAGAGAGGGATGTTGTGTTTGGGAGGGTGGAGGGACAGTGCAGGAGAGGAAGACCCTGGATGATATGGATTGATTCAGTGAGTAGGGTAATGTGGGTAGGTGTGTCAGAGACATTAAGATTGGCACAGGATAGAGAAGGATTGAGGGCTATTGTACATAGGGCCGCTATGAGTTGCAGGCACATAAAAACAACAGCATATCTGGTTTGAATCCACCAGATGTTCTGCTGGAGAAGGAGGGGCAATCTCCTCCTATACCAGTCAGATTCAATTTGACAGTACACACACACATACACACACACACACACACACACAAAATTAAAACAACAACAACATATCCTTTCCAAGTATATAGAATTAATTAGCTGTAACTGCTGTTATTGTAGGGTAATGGGGGAAACTGAAGGATGAAGGGCAATAAGCTCAGAAAGATATGTGCGTGATTCTATTTCAAGTCTCTTCTAGCCCAAAACTCATGATATCCATGTTTTTGTTTCAGTTTAGTAATTAACTTGCTGAAAGACTCTGGACAACCTTTTCAGTATTCTCTAATGTTCTTATTTCTTGCATTTGATTTGAGACCTGGGAATCTTATCATAATCAATAGGACTTATGCTACCAATGTGAGTACCTTCACACTGCTCCCCAACTAAACTCACCTGCTCTGAGATTCCTTCTCCATAGCGAAGCAGAGTCACAAAATGCTCACAGTTGTTGTCAAGCACGTCATATGCTACTTCCTGTCCAATAGCCACCTCTGACCGCTGCATGACTGTTTCCACAGGAAGAGGAGGGTATGTTTCATCGTATTTATTGTTTATTCTGTATGTGTCATTTCCCACAACATCCTTCAAGAGCTGCATCTTCACCACAGCCTTTCTGCTGAATACAGACTTAGCACTTGTAAATGACGCAGGGATCCCATCCTCTGTAAGGAAAGTTCTGGTTAATATAATACAGTGGCCCAGTTCACTCATCTCTAATGTCATCTAAAGGTTACATGTGTTGAAATGCCTGAACTTAGCTCTGTTACTAAGTTTTCATCAAACTAACAGCCATTTCATTTTACTAACCTTAAGACTCATTATATCTTACCAGTAATATACTTATTCAATAATACATGAGTAAGAATTTAAGAAAACTTTCCAAAAATTGATGATCTCCTCATGGAATAAATGAAACAGGAACACTATCCTCATTCTTTTCATTGTGGGGTGGGGTGGGGAGAGTTACTACTGATTGGAATTATCAATATATCTTTTTTAAAAAGTGTATATCACATCAACCCTCTGCTGTCAGTTTGATGCCAACTCTGGATGACTCTGTGTGTGTCAGTGCAGAGGTGCACTCTATGTAACATTTTCTACCTGTAATCTCATAGGAGTATATCACCAGGTCTTTTGTCTGTCACATCCCTGTGAACCTTGAAACTCTCGGTTAAAAGTCAAATATAAACTAAAGAGGTTAGTACCTGCATTTGCTAAAAGGCAGTCTCGTTTTCAGCAGATGAGCTTTTTCCACACTAGAATGGGCTTAGCAGTAGTGTTACAATTAGTCGGCTCCTCCTGGCACCCAGCTGCCTCAGTCACATCCACCTCCACCTGGTTACTTTTGTTTGTTCAATGAGCCTTCTGCCTTGGCTCTTAATTTCTTGTTCTGAAGCACAGTCCCTCGTTCTGCAAAAGGCCACCCCACCTGAAGTCAGACTGGGGTTCTACTTTTCTCTTGCTTGTTCCTTTCACCAAGAAAATAAATCTTGGCCCTGAACCCTCACCAGACACCAGATGTGGCCCTGTGCTATACCTTACAAGGACTACAAAGGTCCCTTCCCTACCACCTAGTACTAGGTGCTTTTGCTGATGAACACCTACCTAGACTTCCAGGAATCCCTAGAGCTTCATCTCCCACTGTGGGTGTCTGAAGCCAGACAGACAATTCTTCCAAGCATAAATCTAATGGCGAGTCCTGGTCCACCTCTAGCTGCCCACAGCTGCTACACACAGCCATATTTAGGTGTCGCATGAGAAGGAGAATCTCTATATAAACGGGGTTAAAACTTACTCTTGCAATAACAAGTGAAAAAGATAGTTTCTTTTCCATTCTTCTTTTTTATATCCTTTAAGCACTTTCTGATTTTTCATTTAAAATCCTATACTCTAACTTTCCTAGCACATCTATCTCATATTTTGGACTGTTAAACTTGGATAGTGGTGCTGTCATTGCTGCTGCCGCTTCTTGTTTTGTTTTGGGTTTGGTTTGTTTCTTTCTTTTTCTGACTAGCCTAGTGCCATCAATTTACAGGTGAGAAAATAGAATATTTGGAGGAGTAAATTGACTTGCAAAACATATAAAGGATAATGATATAAACAAGAAAAAGATTTTTATCTACAGGATCACAGCTCAGTGATTGAACCTCATTAATATGGACTTTAAGACATATAAGAGCACAACACAAAATGCCATGCTATTTTCCAAATGGAAAAACTGCAGAGATAATATAGTTTATATACCTAGAGCTAATCACTAGACCTTCCAGAAATCAAGTCATGAATTATAAATGCCATTTTATTTGCCTTCCATAGTTCAGTATTCCAGAAGATGAGACACATATCTCAAAACAGTGCAAAAACCATTTCATTAAAGATGCTCAGACTTTTGTACATTCCCAAGTTACTAAAACAGAGGCCTATAAAAATTTCTCCCCAAAGGTATCTTAAACAAAAAGATATATTATAAAAGGTCATATTTGGATATGCTATTCCAAACAAATTAATTTGCGTCAAGATATAAATAATACTAGTGTTACAAATTATTAACTTGTACATTATAACCTTAGTTAGAAGCCATAAGAGATCTATATTTGTTCCCATTCCAAAAAGAGAACACAAGAGAATATAGAAATTATTGAACAGTATCATTAATATCACATAAGCAAGCCACTGCTGGAAATGATCCAAAAATGATTGGAACAGCACATCAACAGAGAAGTGCTAGATGTGCAGGGCAGGTTTAGAAGAAGCTGTGGCTATAGGGATATTATAGCTAATGTTAGATGGATCTTAGCTGAAAGCAGCAAGTACCAGAGGAATATCAATCTGTGTTTCATTGACTATGCAAAGGCATTTGACTGTGTGGATCACAATAAACTGGTTCCCTCTGAGAATGGGAATCCCCGACCACTTGATTGTGGTTATGTGAAACCTATACTTGAATCAAGTTGTCCAAACCTGCACTCGGACCAAGAAGACAGTCGTCAAAGCAAAACAAGAAAATGTGGCATGGTTCAAAATGAGGAAAGGTGTATTCCAGGGACATATCCTATCCGTATACCTTTTCAATCTATGTGCGGAACAAATCATCCAAGAGGCTGAGCTCTATGAGGAGGAATGGGGCATCAGAATTGGAGGAAGATTCATTGACAACCAGCGTTATGCAGATGACACAATCTTGCTTGCTGAAACTGAGGAAGACCTGAGGCATTTGCTGCAGAGGGCCCAGGTCTATAGCCTTCAATATGAATTTAAGCTCAACAACAAGAAAACAAAGATTCTCATGACTGGGCCAATTGGAAGTATCATGATAGATGGTGAAGAGACTGAGATTGTTAACAGCTTCAGTTTGTTTGGCTCCACAATCAACACTCAACAGAGGCCAGGAAATCAAAAGACAAATTGCACTGGGAAAATCTGCTGTCAGGGACTTCTCCAGAATATGGAAGAGCAACGATGTCAGTCTGGGGAGTACAGTGTGCCTGATCAAAGCCATGCATGGACTTTGCAATTATTTGTTATACATCAGAAAGCTGGACAATGACTAGGAATGATAGAAGGAGAACTGATCCCTTTTAGCTGTGGTGCTGGAGAAGAGTATTGAATATACCACGGACTGATAGGAAAGAAACAGGTTTGTCCTAAAGTGGGTGAAACCAGGCTGCTCCTCAGAGGCAAGGATTCTAAAGCTTTGTCTGACTTACTTTTGACATGTTGCAAGGAGGGACCAGTCCTTGGAGAGTGATATCATGCTTGGGAGGATGGAGGGACAAGACAAGAGAGGAAGACCCTGGATGAGATGGATTGACTCAGTGACTAGAGTAATGGGTGTGGGTGTGTGAGAGACAATGAAATTGGCTCAAGAGAGAGCAGGATTCAGAACTACTGCACAAAGGGTCACTATTAGTTGCGACTCAACAGCACTTAACAATAACATACATTTTAAGTAATTCAGCAGCGTTGTTGTTGTTATTGTTATGTGCCATCGAGTCGCTTGTGACTCATAGCGACCCTATGTACAACAACCCTAAACTCTGCTGTCCTGTGCCAATCGCACTGTCTCCGACACTCCCATCCTGATTATCCCAGTCACTGAATCAATCCACCTCATAGAGGGTCTTCCCCTCCTGCGCTGTCCCTCCACCCTCCCAAGCATGATGTCCTTCTCCAAGGACCGGTCTCTCCTCGCAACATGTCCAAAGTATGTTAGACGGAGCATCAGAATCCTTGCCTCCAGGGGGCCACCCGGTTTAACCCTTTCCAGGACGAATCTGTTAATCAACAATTCCTCTCCAATTCAGAAATAACTGTTACTATTCTTTCTGTTTTTTAGCTTTATCAATACACATGAAATGTGTGTATGTGCACATCTGATCATATTGTTTTACAAATTGAGTATCATATATTGTAGTTTATAATCTGGAATTTTTCAGTAAATCAAAACCATTTAATCAGCTATTAAGAATAATTTATAATGGATCTTATATTGGTGATTGTTTTATCTGTACAGCACCTCACCCCATTATTGCCTATTTCTTCCATGAAAAGACTCTGTCTGGGCCAGTAATAGCATCCAATTCTCCTGGGAACAGTGAAGCTCCAGTGAGCCACAGGATCACAGCACAATACACTGGACCAAGCAGAGCATTTGCCATGTTTTGGGCTCTGTGTGTGTGTGTTGCTTTTATTTTTTAACAGTGACAAGCAGGAAATGGTTCCCTTTCCAACTTAGTCATAAGGACATAAGAGTGAGTTAAAGACTGCTTATGGACACAGAGTCAGTTTCCTGGAGACGATAAGATGGGCAGTGGATAAAAACATGTGGAATAGGGGCAGGAGACAGATAATACTAATAGCGTTCAAACCCCTACATTCAGGCACTTCTGAGGCCAACACTTCTTCTATCTTTTATGGAGGTTCTCTCAGTTAAGCAATGAATTTACCTCTCTTTTTAAACTAATTCTAGTTTGTTTTTTGTTACTAGCTTGAGTCTTGATGAGTACTGATACTGAATAATCTACAATTAAGCCATTTTTCTATTTAAAAACTATTGTAAATAAGATAGAAGTGAATACTTATACAAAAATCTTTGACCATATCTCAATTTCCCAAATATACTTTTCTACAACTACAAGGTTACAGTATTTGTTGCTGTTGTTGTTGCTGGGTGCTGTTGAGATGTGGATGACTTTTAGCGGCCTGAACCGACTCTATCCTGTGCCAGCCTCATCATCTCTGACAAACTACAGTTCACTGTTGACGTCATCATGTCAATCCGTGTCATTGGGGGTCTTCCTCTCCTTCACTGATCTCACATAATTTGGGCATATTTCCTGGAGAGGCCAGTTCAAAGACATTCAGTGAGACAACAGTGACTAGCTGGATGGACTTGAGCAGAATAGAGATGGTGAAGATGGGCAGGATAGGTTGAAGCTCAGGATCTGTGTTCACAGACCGCTGTGAGTCACTGTCAGCGCAACAGAAACTAACAAGATGATGACTAGATGACAAATCTGTTTTGAAGGAAGCACAACCAGTGTGCTTTTAGAGGCAAGCATGGTAAGACTTCATCTCATATACTTTGAGCATGCTGTCAGGAGTCCTTGGAAAAAGGGAAAGGTGGAGAGTCAAAGCAAGGAAGATTGACAAAGTGACGGCAACAGGCTTGAGCATGTTGAAAATCACCGAGATTATAGCACAGGATATGGCAAGGTTCAGGTCTTGTTGTCCAAGGGTTGCTATGAGTTAAAAGTCAATTTGACAGCACTTACAGATGAGACACAAGATGACTGGAGAACTGAAGTTTTTAATTCATTTCTTAAAGGATTTGTTTGTAGTTGTTGCTTTTCATTATTGTTCTTCCAAAGCTGTTTATAATTACTTAGCCACTATTTTGCTGGGCTTTTGATATTTGCTGTCATGGCCTAAGTTGTGCTGAAATCACAAAGGCATGCAATTCAAATCCACCAGATGCTCAGTGGGAGAAGGATAGGCAATCTTCTCCCATGTGAGTTACTGACTCTGAAAGCCCTAGGGAGGGTCAGCTGAACATTTCTTAAACTGAAGTAACTGGAGAACAAATTCAAGCCTTGACCTGTAATACTGAAGGACACTATGGGCAGAATATTGAATCATCCAGGAAGAATCAAAAGAAAATGGAAGGAGTACACAGAGTCACTGTACCAAAGAGAACAGGCCAACACAGAAGAATTTCATGAAACTTACATTCAAGAGGCAATGGTGACGGAGGAGGAAGTTCAAGCTGCTCTGAAGAATTTGACAAAAAAAAAAAAGGCCCCAGGACTGATGGCAGACAGTTGTTAACTAGAAAAGTCGGTGGCTAAAACTCACCAGCTGCTCCAAGGGAAAAAGACGTGACTATCTTCTCCTGTAGAGATTATAATCTAGAAAACAGAGGCATTTCTACTATGTGACATGAGGAGTAAGAATTGACTAGATGGCAACTGTGTTATGTCCCATGTGTCATCAAGTTGAGTACAACACACAGTGACCCTACAAACAACAGCTCTGATCTCTGTCCTATCCTGTGCCATCTTGATCATTTCTCATATACTTGAGCCCATTGCTTCAGGCACTGTATCAATTCATCTTATTGAACACCTTCTTCTCCGTTGTTGACCTTCCACCTTTCCAACTCTGATGTTCTTTTCCATGGAGTGGCGTTATTAAGTGTCAAGGAGATTGCTTATCTGACTCCCACAAAGCAGCGTACCTTTGGGATTGCAGCACAGCTTTTTATCACTAGGCCACCAAAGCTTTATTGCAAGGAATAATTCCTCCAAAAACAAGTCCAAAGTAAATGAGATGAAGCCTCACCATTCTTGCCTCTAAGGAGCACTTGGGCTATACTTTCCTCAAGATGTTCTTTTGGCAGTCCATAGGATATGCAATACTCTTCTCCAACATCACAACTCAAAGGCACCGATTCTTCTTCTGTCATCCACATTCATTGTCCAGCTCTCAGATGCATAGAAGGTGAATGAAAAGATTATGGCTTGAATTTGGCAAACCTTAGCCTTTAAGTAGAAATTATCGCTCTTCAGGAGCCTTTCTAGACATCTCCTGATCTAACTGCTGGTACCAAAAGTGTTAACTGATCCCTGGAGGATGAAATAATGAACAATTCCAATCCTTTCTCCATTTATTTTTATGTTTTCTACTGGCTCAGTTGTGATAATTTTTGTTTTCCTAATATTGAGAGGCAATCCGTATCAATTATATAAAAATACATGTTGAATGAACAGAAACCATTTATTTGTATGATACATATAGTATCACACAAACATACTGACTACTATCATGTTTGTCGTAAATATTTTCCCCAACTGATTTCTTCTTAATTATGATTTTTCTTTTAATCTAAAGGTTATATATTATAAGATTAATTAGGCTTCATGATTTCTTCCAATACTACTTTGAGATTCAAAATCTTTCCCTAAATTTAGATCAGTTAGACTTAGCTGTTTTCTGTCTTTATTCCTCTTTTCTTCTATGATTCCATTCACAGTTTCTTCTTGTAACAAAAATACCAAAAGTCTCCTGGGAGACACAAGATGCAAGCCTTACCTACAGGAGCTATGTTGATAACATAGCCATCTCCCAAGTAAAGTGCCCAGTGCTGATAGCCAGGACGGAACACTTCAATCAAGTCCCCCAGCTGTGGGTTGCCTGGGTACTTCAAACTAAAGCAATCATTACACGCCATCTGCAATGAAAGACACAAAGATGAGTTATTTAAAAAAAAAAAAAAACCTTCTAGAAGAGAACCAATTTAAAGCTTCCATAAAGGTACAGTAACATAGCATTTATCTGGATTGTATTTTTTATTGACTTAAAACTCTCACCACCACGTCTTTCTTTAAATGATTTTAAATGTCTTATACATACTCCCTCAGGTAGAAAAATAATTTGTAAATGTTACTCAATCTGATCAACCTCAAAACTCAAACTCACTTCCATTGAGTTGGTCTGACTCATCAGAACCCACCATTGGGTTTCCTAGACTAAATCTTAACAGGAGGAAAAGTGTCCCTTTTCCCTCACAAAGAACAATCCTAAGGCCCCTTCACTATACAAATACTTTTATATAGTGAATACAAATCTCAGAATTAATGGCTATTATAATTTGCCTAAGCATAAAATCTCTAAAACATTAACATGATACCATATTTATAATAAAGAAGAAATAAAGGGAAAGTAAGGTTTGTAATGTTTCAGTAGGAAAACTTAGGATTCAATAGATGATTAGAAGCTTTCCATACAGTACAGCAGCATAGTACAGTCAATGAGTAGAGAGGCAAGGAAGATGGTAATTTTAATGAATACTGAAACAATATAAAAAGATTTTGCATTGTAAAATATAATGCACCTTTTACTTAAACACATTGAGCCCTCACGTAGGATATAGACATTTCTTCCTTCAAAATGTGGTGTGCACTATGCCTCGGCTACTGTAACAACCACAAATTCCCCTCCTCACAAGACGTGCATCACTGGGAACTCATGGTACTGATGACTATTTCTAAACATTTTACATTTGGTAGACTTGTAAGAATGGAGATCCCCCTCCTTTTTCAACTTTTAATTTTTCAGAAAAAACCTGAAGTTTCTGCTTACCTCAAACAATTCAGTACAATTGTGTATGAACCAACTCACAGGTGACTCTCCATTGGGTTTCTGAGGCTATAAATCCAATGGGAAGAGATTATCTTTCTATTGGAGAAATAATGGTGGATTCAAACTGCCAGAGAGGTTTAGCACCGCAAACTCCCTATAGACTATGCCAACATGGCTCCTTAATATTTCTATTAGTTGAATTTTATATCAAGTTATATTTTCCATGTGTAACATAGAACATCGTCGAGGAAATAGATGATTTCTACCAACTTTTACAGTCGGAGATAGATCGAACATGCAATCAAGATGGGTGACTGGAATGCAAAAGTTGGGACTAGTGAAGAAGAATCAGTAGTCAGAAAACATGGGCTTGGTGACAGGAATGAGGCTGGAGATAGAATGATTGAATTTTGTAAAATCAATGACTTATTCATTGCAAATACATTTTATAAAAGACA